CTCATACATCCCTCCTAATAGACCTCTAGAGTTGTATAACTTGCACGCAAATAATATTTCCTCGCTGGTATTAAATAATGTCTGTGCTCTGGGTGACTTTAATTTAAGCAATATCGTCTGGTCTAGTTGTTCCTATAGTCCTGCTCTTATTCCCTCCAATTTATCGTCTTCTCAGGAGTTAGTTCCAATCGATAGCTTGCTTAGTCTCAATCTGATTCAAATCAACTCTTATTCAAATAATCTGGATCGGTTTCTAGACTTAGTGTTTCTTAGTGATAATTTAAAATCTAGGTTTCTCGATGGATTCTCTACAATTACTCCAGCCACCATTCATCATTCTCCGCTAGCATTTGAGGTGGATACTTATCTCTTCCCTCCTGTTAAACCTACTGATGGGCCTGGTTTTAATTTTGCATATTGTGATTTTGAACGACTCAATAATCTCCTCGATGAGATTATATGGGATGATCTACTTTCGGGACTAGATACAGCTAATAGTTTCGCGATTTTTAAGAAATCCATTCAGGATTTTTGTCATTATAATATCCCGCTCAAACATATACAACCATATAAGTTGCCTTGGTACACTAAGAAAATCAAACGTTTAAAAAATCTTAGAAACTAATACTATAGAAAATTCTCTTCAACTAAATCTCATGTTTCCTTTGTTCAATATCAGCACTACAGAAAACTGTTTAATGAGTTGGATAAGTCCAGACTTATACCTGACATCCACACGTGGATAAGTAGACGACATGGAGACCTGGATTTCCACCTGACCCAAATATTAAGCGGGCATGTGTGCTTCAGAGGCTACCTATACGAATTTCCAAATGACGTCAGTCCGTATTGTTCGATGTGTGCGGAGTCCATAGAAGACTCTGAACACGTGTTTTTCCATTGTCCTCGGTTTCTAAACATAAGGGAAAAGTTAGAAACTGCACTAGGTTTTAGCCTAACGGTGGAAAACTTGACTGAATTTATGTGTCAGTCCTCTGAGAAGTGGATAGCTGTTCACGAAGTGGCTACTCCCATAATGACTGCATTAAGACAGTTACAGCAAAGTAGGCGTCAGTCCGTCCGCGCTATAGAAGAGACGTAAAATGTCTTGTCACTCCCATGAAGTAATACCTTACCTGGTGGTTCCGTGGGAGAGTCTTCAGTTGGGAGTAGGTTAGGTTTAGCGGATTAAAGTTCCGCACTCCGGCTTTCGATGCTTTCTCCTACTATGAAAAAAAAACCGGCCAACGAGCTAAAACACTCTGCTCCAGCCAACGCTGCAATTTCGGCATACACCACTCACAGAAATACGTCACGCGAAAATGTTTGTCCTGACTCTCCAGGTGTTCGAGGACAACCCAATCCAGTCGGTGCGCGCATACTCCGGAGTACAGTTGCGGTGGAAGAAAATTAGTCCTACTACTTTTCGAACATAAGGGTTTATGTTATGTTAGCTGACCATTTCGTCTTATTTAAGCTGGTGTCTTAACTAAGGTTAACTATGCCCCACTTGATTCTCGAAGCATCCTCATTTCCACGAAATACCGCATTAAAGAGGTGACAACTTTACAAATACGCTGTTCACGGTAAGGTGGTTATCGGGTTATGTGGTTATTAGATTAAAAATAACCTCTATGATCCGTGAACATCCCATAGTGTATGGTTATATGCTTATTTTTACACAAACAGCTGTTCATTGTTTACATTTTAAGTTCAATGAATTTCTACTTATAAAATGCCTAAACAAAGTTTAAAAAGCAACATAATTGAATTTAAAATAAGTTCTGCTATTCAGGAAATGGACTTTATTATTATTAAATAATCCAAATTTTAAGAGTTCAAAAGATTCTTTGTATAAAATTTGCAGACATCTTGCGCCCTGAACAGTGTCACAATGCAATTGTAAACAAAACACAGCTGTTAATAGCAGAATTTCCAATTAGAAAATATAAATGGAAATGCCATTCGCTTAGTTTTATTTTGTGCTGCCATTTAGTAAAACTCCAACGATTTTCTAACACTGGAAATAAGCAAACAACCACATAATCTGTAAACAAGGGTCTGGGTTGGTCAAARTTGGTTATTTTGTCATACCGCATTTTGTTGTTGTTTACTTAATCACATAACCACATAACCCGATAACCACCTTATCGTGAACAGCCTAAAAATTTTAAGCTTATTTTCGCTAAATGCAATTAATAGTTAATGTAATATAAGWGTTACAAAAAAAAAACCCTTTTCAAATTAAGGGGTCAGTAAGTTTTACTTTTTTTTTACACAAATTGCGTCAATAATTCACCACCACATACCTCATGATATTTCAAAAAAAAAAWGTTCTATTGTAGAATAAAAATTTTTATGAAAAACAAGGTCAGATTACCCTACTGACCACTTAAGATAAACCATAATTAAATGTTTACGTAAGACCATCGTGACAATTTAAAAAATTTATAAGCGTTTTATTTGCGGCATACTTTTCAAATAATTCAGCGTCGCAGATTTTTAATTTTATATCTTTATAATTGTTTTTTGTATTTAGTTTGTCTCTGCAAGATTCAATCTAGATATGAACAATTATTTTAAACGAAAATTAATTTTATATATTTTCCTGTCGTCCCAAGATCTTTTCTGACTATCTTTTCATGAAATATCTTATCCAATTTATTTCTACCACTTTTGTTTTGCCGTATGAAAAAGCTTTCCTCCACAGACATATGTTTTAGCAGTTTTCCCTTGATTGTTTCTTTACAGAGTTTTTCTTGAGTTTCATAAAATTTTACTTTTATGAACCTTAATTTCTCTTCCTCGCAGTTGTGGAAGATGTCGGTGGCTTTAGCATTGATAACAGAAACTGCAAACTGCAAGTATTTGTGCGTTAATAAAATAAGCAGGTCAATGATATGTAGCACCTATTTTTTGTCTGTACTTTTATACAGCGTTTAATTTCCAACAGCGTGGAGTGGATCCTTTCTAGCTGGACATAACTTTCCCTGTGGGTAGGATTGAAAAACTGGTCGATAGTAAAGGTATCTCTGAGCATAACTTGAATTGCATTACATTGGAAAGCTTCACCGTTGTCACAGACAATGACTTTAAAGTTATTAAACACTAATAAGACTTCTAATGGTGCGTATTTAATATCAACCGTAGCTTTTGAAATAATGGGTTTAACTATTGCAAAATTGGAAATCTATGCACGTTAAAGCAATTACCTGACGGATGCGCAAAATTCCAAGCGACTAAAATCATCTATTCTCAACCTGTAGCTGACTATGCGTAGAAACTTGGAAGAGTGGTCCCACTACTGAAACCCGTCAACAAAAAGGAGTGCAAAAAGCGGCAAAGTGCAGAGCACTTTCACAGCACTTAGCGTCATAAACGCACAAATATTTCATGACGTAAACCAAAATTCCGCCTATAAGAGAACAATCCTCGTAGCGTTGACCCGGTTAAAAGCTTTTGACACAGTTGGGCGAAATGAGATAAGCGTCCCCTAAAGGCACCACATCCATGAAACTGTACACAACTGTCACACCTCAATACACCACACCAAAAACGCAAAATTGTCGTTTGCGCTACCAATTATTAGATTTCTTAAATGCAATGTGCCTAATAACTGTGAACGAAATTTATATTCTAAAATAAAGCCAATTGTCGTGAAGTATAAACCGTGCGTTTTAATTTAAAATAGTTCAAGTTTGTCAAGGGGGTAGTGAAGAAAGTATAGTGGGTAAGGATTTAAGCACAGTTAACCACACAATGCTACTTGACTACATTGATCTACCTGAGCACTAAAAACTGCAAATTGAAAAGAATTAAAATGGGCATCCCGCAGTATAATCCCCTTTCCCCGTTGTTGTTTAAATTTTAGAATTCGAAATTTCCTCAACTGCTTGAATAAATTTCTATCACATCGCTCGATATTAACGATGGGTAATGGAATCGACGACATGTGTTCGAAAGTAAACGTCTATCTCTCCGACCTTTCTTGTTTCTTCTCTGCAAAGTRTCTAACACTCTTTCCACTAAATCCACAGCGATCTTATTCACGAACTGGACGAAGAAGTTTAGATTGGACCTTAACATTACAGTTGGTAGCCGGCTGCTCAGGAGGAAAAGACAAGCAAACGTTGTTGACAACATGCAAGGCAATTGGCCAGCCCGTTCTAAACCATGCCACATCTACGCCTGAATGAAATAAAACGAAGAACCCTGAGAACACTGCACTCGGGACTATAACAGGATGCCTCTTGAAGTGTTGGGTCAGGCACATACAGCCCGTATGCTTCCGGTTAAGGAACACAACGAACTTCTCTCAGAGCAGCGGAGCATCCTCTCTAAATATTCTATCTGCAGACAACATAATTGCCAATTAAGTGATTGATTAAAAGGAACTATAATTGCGATGTATCAATCAGTAGTTTATTTTATTGTGTTTAGTTTTAATAAGACTGGTTTTCGAAAATTACAGAAAGAATTGTCAAATGTGCTGAGTATATTGCAAATAAAGATTTGGGGTACAACAGTCATAATCTGATGAAACATTACAATTCGGCTGCGTCATGTGAGTGAATCGCCATGTATTAGATGGTTCACTTCCCTTAAGGGATCGTCTCAGTGTGAAATTTTCGACGTGTTTCTTTGGAGTGTTCATTAGCGCAGACGTACGCGATTAAATTCTGTGTGAAACTCAGTAAATCTGCGACAGAGACGTCGCAGGCTTACCCAGATATTGCTTTAACAAGAAGTGGTCTGTTCGCCTTTTTTATACAAAAATATTCAAAATATAGTGAATTAATTCCTTAACTTAAATGACACCCGAATAGCCATACACTAATATTATAATTATTCATTTTAATCTAGTTAAATTTAGGTCGAATATATAAAACAATAAATGAACCATCTTAATTCAATTAGTTGGTAATAATTTTTAATATTATATAACATTTTCATGTGGCTAAGTGTAATAAGTGAATAAAAAAATCTTTAGTCTTACTTACATTTTAAAAATTTCGTCGTATAATGGAAATCGCGTTTTATGATGAACAGACGTTTTATATATTGGCATATTGACAAATCTGTTAGTCGGATAAAAATTAATCTTAACAAAAGAATCACATGATCCATTTTGATCCATAGGTACCAAGTTTCTCCCATTTAAAATGTGAAGCTGAAATATCATTAAATACTTTAACAAATTCAAAACAATAATTCACATGAAATTTAGCTATTAATTACCACTAATCCGGTTTGTGTAAAGTTAGGTTTTATTGTGAGTTGACCGAATTCYGACCTTGAAATTCCTTGTTGACATCCCAACAATTCCAAATAATACTGATGAATTAAATCAGAGGTCTCATAAGCATGTAAGTCCAAAGCCTTTTCAACTTCTCTCAATACTTCAATATCTGATGTTACTGCGTTTCCAATCTTAAAACAAGATGTCATCACTGATAATGTTTGTTTTAAATTTAGGAAAAAAGATGGTGGCCGTCGTTTCTAAGATAGAAAAATTGTGTGTTTGATTTTTCATTCAAAACAATAACCAAATAATCAAAACAAGAAAGGGTCGGCTAAGGGGTACAACCAAACATTTTATACTCTTGCAACTTACAAGAAGCAAAGCCAGGGAAATAGTTAAAGATGTAAAACTAATCATATATGTAAAGTAAAGTCAGCCGGATGTTTGAAAACTGATATTAGTTATATAGGGGCTGACCAAGTTTTCACTCAGATTTATCTGCATATTTTATTCACAAAGATACACTGTGGTGAATAAAACGCGCTCTTTAATTTTCATTGTGATAACTCACATATTGGTACAAAATCACCCCGAAGTTCGAAAATCTTTAAATTAGGTATATGAAGGCTAAGGGAAGTAATCTTTAAATTAGATATATGGAGGCTAAGGGAGTATTGGTCCGATTCAATCCTTTTTGATATACATATTATAAGAGAAGGAATCTCCCTTAATTTGAGTTATATTAGTACTCGTATATCACACATGACCCGACATTTTCGACCAAAAGTGAACTGTAGTACCGGAGTCTAAATACTCGGTAAGTAGGGGCTTGAACAGTTTTTATTGGATTTAAACATATTTTAGTCATAAGGTGGCACACAATAAATTTTTCTTGCAAAGTTTTATCCCGTTAAATTAATTGTTCTTGATTTGTGTACCGAAAATTGAACGAATCAAGTGAAATTAAAAATTGTACTATATGGGAAAAGGCGTGATTGTTGTCCAATTTCGTCCATTTTCAAAAAGTGACATAAGATACCACTTACCAATTAAAAWTTTCAAGTGTTGTGCATATTTGGCGTGTTTACCAGAAATATTAAAAATGTAAAACAAAATACATTCAGCTATATGTAGACAAAATCATTTGGAAGTTAGTGAGCTTTATAAAAGTGATATTTTTAATTTTTTTAATTTACTTTATAAGTTATGGTTTACTTTCATATTTGTTTAATTGAAACACGACGTTTAATCGCATTATTATTTTATAAACAACAAAATCTGCCGATTTTGTATAACCACAGAAAAGCTGGTTTGTGTTTTACACATTAAACATAATAAATTAAAAATTGTAATTATATTTCGACAATATAACTTAGTTTACTTATACTTACTAAAAACATAAAATTCAAAAAAAAATCCCGAAGCAACAAGAAATTGCGAAACAAAAATTAAGAAAGTATAGTGGTAAGCTTTGTGTGTCATGTAATAGGAATGCCACCAACAAGATATGGGATTTAACCAAAAAGTGAGCAGTACCACGTAGTTCGTCCAATTTTCACACCGTTTCTGGCGTATTTAGTTATTGACTAATCGCGCTTGTAGTAGTTTTTAACAGTACCGTTATATGGGGAGTGAGCGGGGTTATTTTCCGACTTTATCCATTTCGACATTGTCAGTAGAAGTTCTTATAATATTTGTACCCAGAAAATTTGGTTGTAGCTTAAGTGGTTTAGGAGATATGTACAGAGGGCGGGGCCACTCTCACAGGTGATCCTTGATACTGCAATCTTGGTTCGATCACGCCCAATTACGAACTCGAAATTTTTGTACTAAGGAACCTACATACCAAGTGACGTCGTGATATCTCAATTTTTACTCAAGTTACAGCTTGCACGGACGGATGGACGAACGACAAATAGTCAACCGGATTTCAACTTTTCTCGTCATGCTCATTTTTTATATATATACTATATGTAACCCTATATCCGTTTAGATTTAGGCAATACGTACAACCCTTAGGTGAACAAAACTATAATACACTGTGGCAACTGATTTCAAGAGTATAAAAAGATAAAACCAAATGAGCTCCGTAAGTATTGAAGATAGACAATCGTGTATCGGTACCGGCATTATCTCAAGTTCTATACAACCGATTTACTTGAAATTTTGTGTGAACCTTATTTATATAATCCTTTATCCTTTATCTTTATATAATCCTTAATCCTTTGTTTTTAATATTTTRAAAAAACTCAGGAATTAAAAAAAAACGGAAAAAATGAATGAATGAACAGCATCCTTACTGAATAAGAATTTCTTTTCATTTTTTTTTTACTCCTGTCTCTCCCCCCCCCTCTAATTATTTTAATTTGTGTTTAAATGAGTTAAGCATCCCCCCACTTTAACCGGGAAAACTAACAAACACTCATACTTGACGACACCACACTCGCACACAAGACAACTCACCACACTTGTACATCCACCCACTCAGCATAAAGAATGGTCTCCTGAGCAGATTCAACACTTTCGTTCCTGCAGTTCGCCCATCACCACATCAACATTTTCATTCTACACAATTCGCACGTTAACATACACACATTCCACTATACACAGTGGCAGCTTTCGTTCGTTGCAATTGGCCAGAACRCAACGAGATCCAACAACATTTTCGCTCTGGTATTATTGGAACACCTTTTCCTCCGATCACTTATCGGTCCGGTTTACCTCCTCCCCGCTCCGTATACATGTATAGAACATTATATTTTTCATAAATTCTAAATAAACTTTAAAGTTATTGTACACATTAAATACGTCTGCATTCTTATTTAACCATCGTGAAAGTGAAAAGTACTTTGACAGCAAAGTATTTAAACATGGTCCTTCGAGCCTTAAAGACAGGCACTATATACAAACAGCCACATATATGTGTGCACAGAACAAACAAAAAAAAAAAACATGCACATTATACCGGCAAATAAAACATACATAAATTCTTAAGAAAAATAAGAACAACGGAAAGAGTGCACTAAATACAAAAAACAAAAGCGGAACAGTGCAGTGTCTATATATGTACATATGCATAAATTTATTTAATTTTGTGTGGTACATAAATGTACATACTTAAATACAGATATACGAGAAAGTTTAAAACACAAAAAAGGAATCGTGCGGGGAACAAGAAAAAAAAAAAAGTGCAGTGAACCTCACAAAACAATATCAAAAATCCGAAAATTGCAGTGACAATATATACCTAAGAAAGTAACTAAAAATAAAGTGGAATGGCACCCATTTATAGGCATATACGAGTGTACATATATATATGAAACAAGTGGGTATATTTCAATAAAATCTACAAGAACAAAAACTTAGGTGACAATTAGTTACTATTACGAAAATATAAACATAAAAGTGCAGTGCGAAACTTACTAACTAACAACAGAAAAGAAAGAGGTTAAATTCGATCAAAAAAAGAACTGAGACAAATATACATAAAACATAAAAAAATAAAACAGTGCGAAACAATAAAACTACAATAAAAGAGTGGGCGCGAAATACAAAACTAAAATAATAATAACCATCAAAATACATAACTGCAAAACGCGCACGCGAATTAACCAAACAGAAACTGAAAACATCAAACAACAACAAGCACAGTATAGGACTGGAAGAAAAAGCCAAAGGCACAAGCACATGCACGTACAAATATCAATTTACTTACACTCATAGTCCCCAAAACCCCCTGGCGGAAATCAAAGTGAGTTGCATCGATCCCCTTTTAATACCTATATATTTGCATATATGAATGTAGCACAAAATTAAATTTGTGTTTCTAACAGAAATTCCGTTGGTATAAAAAACCATCACCAAACTTATTTTCCGGTAAAAACCGAAATACTGCTAACAAACAAAACACAGTTTGGTAATATATAAGTATAACAAATTATTAATGGCGATAAATGCTTACAGTTGTGTTAAAATACACAAAATATTTCCACAGCACAAAAAGTTCAAGTATTAACTTGCAATATGTTCTGACAATACCCCATTTGTTTAACAAAACAATAAGCGGGATTGCATAAACCAAATAAGCAAGGCACAAACATTAATCAAAATTATAACATATAAAACAAAACAAAAAAAAACATACATATATGCAAATTTTCTAATGCAATAATATTTATATATACTTACATACAAAAATATATACAAAGTCCATACGGGAGAATACCTGCACATTCTTCATTTCGCCTTCGCACTCTCTTCGCAGTGAGAACAAACATATAGACGGCAAACAATCACCCGGTGCCATTATACACTACACTGGGTATTAGTACAAAAAAAATACGTAGTCTTAAAGTTAAAAAAAAGGGTCGTTTTAAAATTCAMTTAAAACACGGTGGTAAAGTGGAAAAAAACTTTCCCTAATTTTATCTTTGTAGTTAAAAACAGAATACAAAAAATCAGTAAAACAAAATCTACATAATTTGTGAACACTGTATATGCAAACATAGGTACATATATTAAAACATATAAATCTTCAAAGGCATCTTCATTGGCATCTATTCGGCAATACCTCTTGTTCTTTGACAAACAAAAACAAGCAGAATTGCGAGTAGAAAAGCATAATCAGAAAAACATACTAACAATTCGTGCATACTTATGTAAAAACAACATTGATCTCTTTAACGAGCTCTCAATCACACAAAACATAAGTACATGCATACGTACATATGTATAAACAAGTACACGTATTAGGGTGTACCTAAATACAAAACTTTCGGACAACAATTACGTTAATAAATACAATGAGCGTAATAAAAAAAAAATCTTTAAAAAAGTATTCAATTTATCATACAGACTTTATCGCTTCTATTAGATACCATAAATCAGTTTACACTGAGGAAAACTTTAAAAATATTTTAATATAWATATATATAGTATAACAAAAATGGTTCATAACGAAAAAAAAAAAACCAAAACACACCTGCAGGAGCTATACACCCAAAACAGGTTGTTAAATTTATTTCAGAAAGTGACAGTTTAACAAAATACTGCACTAGATTTGCTTCTTCACCGATTCAAGAAAACTCTGAATCGTTATTAGAAATAAAAGGTCAAAATCTAAAAAAAATTCTGGACTCGTCTCGAAGCGGCTCATGACGCCATAATAGAAACTGACGATTCAGACCTATACACAAAATTTCAAACAATCGGCTTACGCAATATATGAAAACTGCTTAGACCAGTACGAAGAAACAAAAGCTATGATCTCCGATCAATTAAAGCTAATAAAAGCAATCGAACCCACTCCACATTCGGGAGTGGGGCTGCCACAAATGCAACAATATCAAGAGGCAAGTTCAGGCATCAACCTCGAGGTGCCCGCATGTGACACAGAAACATTCTATGGAGGTTATGAAGAATGGCCATCCTTCCGGGACATTTTCACTGCCGTTTACATCAACCATCTAGAACTATCAAAAGTACAAAAATTGTATCACCTCAAATACAAGACACAAGGACAAGCAGACGTCATAGTAAAACGAAAGAACACTGGTCGATACACAAGTAACGACACTAATGAACTTGCCAAAAATTAACAAAGAAACGAGTGTCGAATTAATCAAATTGGATTCTAGATCCACCTTTTCTAATTGTCTAATTGTCTGTCCGGACTGTTCAATGTTCTTAATTTTGATTATTTTTTCTTCTAACCTTTCCCCACTTTCATATTGGGTGATGAGAAAATCTTTCATTAGTTGCCACGTTGGACAGTTCTTTCGGATAGGTCCTATCGACACTAAATATCTCCACAGACAGCTGGGACCCTATTCTGGTAAACATTTGCACCATCGCATTACCAGAAAAATCGTTACTTTTGTGGAAGCGATCGCTCTCACCACGAAAGAAGTATCCARCGTGGCAAATAATGAAAGATTTTCTCACCACCCAATATGAAAGTGCGGAAAGGTTAGAAGAAAAAACAATCAAAATTAAGAACATTAAACATTAAAAAATAATCAAAATTAAGAACATTAAACACGACACGGAGGAGGGAGTCATGTGTAGAAGTTCACGCAWGTGAGGAAAGTTTTCTGATCGCCATTCACTTGGGAGCGGCCAGAAACGATTCTTTTACATATAACTCAAGCAGCGCACGACTTCCGGTCTTTGACTAAGTATCCTCTGGGTAGCCTAAGAACATCCGTTTGAAGGCGAGCTAAAGTGAGAAAGCGAAACATTCCCTGCATAGGGTTGTAAGCTGGGTTTGGGACCCGTAACGTAAAAAACCCAACACAATGAAAACGCAACAACAGCCTCGGATGAGAGACCCCACTTTTGATGACGACCATKRCAAACGAAATAAGGACTACAAATTGAGGGCATGCACCTGGAATGTCCGGTCCCTTAATTGGGAAGGTGCCGCTGCCCAGCTGGTTGATGTCCTCGTAAAAATAGAGGCTGACATCACCGCCGTCCACGAAATAAGAGGAACGAGAGACTATCGTCTAGCCACAATCCGCATCAAAGCGAGGTTCTTCAACATATCGCCGATTTGCGCCCACGTCCCGACGGAGGAAAAGAACGATGTGACCAAAGATTAATTTTATGAGTGCATGGAAAGACCTTATGAGAGGTGTCCCCGCCACGATGTCAAAATCGTGCTTGGCGACTTTAACGCCAGGGTGGGCAAAGAAGGTATCTTTGTCACTACGGTCGGTAAATTCAGCCTCCACGAGGAAACATCCCCAAATGGATTGAGGCTGATTGACTTCGCCGGGGCCCGAAATAACGTTATCTGTAGTACTAGATTCCAGCATAAAAAGATACATCAAACTACCCGGCTGTCTCCAGATCGAAAAACCATTAACCAGATCGATCACGTTGTGATAGACTGAAGACACGTCTCCAGTGTTTTAGAAGTGCGTGCGCTCCGAGGTCCTAACATCGACTCGGACCACAATCTTGTTGCAGCCAAGATTCGCACGCGCCTCTGTG